TCAGTCCAGTCGCAGCGACTCTTTTAAAGGTGTCTAAGGTAGAAAAACCTGTATCGTGGAGCTTGATCCATGAAGACGCTGAGCTCGGACTAAGCAGTTGAGCACATGGTTGTAAATGAGGAAGGTTGCAAGGGAGAATGTTCAAAGCGATTATTTAGACCTCTCCAAAAAGACGAAAATGATATGAAGAGTTTTGTAGGGAAGGTCAAGTCTTAGCAAAAGGCAAGAGAAAGCATAAACTCATTTGTGAACTCAGAAGCAGCTTCGTAGCCAGCTAAGGATTCCATGAGAATTTATGATGAGAAGCCTCGAAAAGGAAGAAAACTATCGTATTTTTATTATGTGGGATACATATATATGTAGCAAAAAGACCTAGATGCACACGAATCAAGAATAATGGGAATTGGTGGGTCTACGCCACAAAAACACCTGTTGACACCTAGAAGGCAGTTCTTATCCGCAAATTCTTCTTGGGCCTGTTTTGTCTTCCACGTATCTCAAACCCCTTACATGAGGTAATTATCTCACATTCTGACATGTTAAATGGGTCGGTTACCTAAGCTGTGTCTGACCCCCGCCTGAAAAAATATCTGTTCATATTAACCGAGTGGATACACCGGAAGCAAAAATGAACGTGATTAATACATTAAACTCTGTGGGCTACGACACATATCGTGTCGTAGCCCAGGGAGTTTTAATGACTAGCAGTTATGAGCTGTTCCAATCGGTTTATATTTTAAGATTTTTCAGAAAGTAGCTCTGTTCACTGGAATTAATGTGAGAAGGCAAACGCGACGAAACGTGCAGTGTTTAATTACACTTTAAAATTTCGCGAGCTCTTATTCAGTTGCATACGGTCATTGAGAAATTACGAGTCAAAGTATACTGCTCGATGAGAAATCGACCTAAAGGGGGAAATCGTTTCTCGAAATCAAAACATAGACGACGATATGGTTTCATTTCTTAGGCCTCTAGGTCCACATTTTACCAGACCATACGGACTACGAAAATTGCGCAGGCCAGGGACGCCGATACGACCAATTTTATCAGTGAAGAATCTACTTCAACATGAACTCACCCAGTGGTTAGTCCAGCAAATCAAATAAATCGGGTGTAACCTTAGCGCCTGCACCACAACAGATACTTTATCATGCTTGGATAAGCTGCAAAATCAAAATCAACTTAATAAGTACATGATCTCTTCTGACGCGCAGAGCCTGTTTACATACGTGTTACTGGATGAAACCATTGATATTATATGTGAGCATACGACTGCAACATGACCGCCATCAGGGTAAATGAGGGAACTACCACAAATATGCACGAAGAATGTACAGTTCTTGTTCAACGGACAGCAGCATCGACAGGTCGACGGTATAGAGATAGGCAGTCTATTGGAGCCAGTCCTAACGGATATTTTCTTGTCAAACGTTGATTAAAACTTAACTTGCAATTTACAGCGAACCTCATTCTATGGGCGATGAATAGATGACATATTCGTCATAGTCGATACCCACATGATGGAGAGTTACTACTTAAGACTATGGTCAAAGCACATACAAAGGCCCACTGTACGATCAAGCATGAGAAAAATGGCACAATGCCTTCCGTAGGCACCGTTGTATGTAGGTGGCAGATGGTTCCATTCAGGGGTCCATCTATCGAAAACCCACCTGGAATGGAAAATACATGCCTTTCCTCAGTTTTGTTCCAATTCAGAGAAAACAGAGCTTGATTTTGTGCCTGTTCAATTCAGTCACTAGAATCTGTTCTTCCGATGCGATCGATGACGAAGTCGTTTCCCTGAAGAACGTTTTTCCTAGAATGAGAAAAAAGTTCATTTGAAAGCCGATAGCCTGAGGTAACTGGATTATTATAGAATTATGCTTTACGATGATTAGCCGCACAACCCTACTTGATGAATCTTTTCGAAACGGGGACGCATTTCGAAATTTCGGCGGACATTTCATGAGTTAGCCCACCTACTGTAATTGGCTACTCCGCTTAGGCGGTCTGACATTCAGTGGTTGCAGTTCTTTAGTCGTATTGTAACGTACCTTGGACTTAACAGGGCTGCTTGTGTACCACAGTTACGGTTGTAGCAACACAAGGTTTGGGAGCACCGTTCATGTGACTTGGAACGACGACTTGCATGTGATTGGTTCTGGGTCTGTCGTAGACTATTGATGGTGCTACACATAGTGCGCACTTAGGTGCACAAAAAGCGTACGGTGTCCCTTAAGTCTTCGTAGTTGCCGTGATAAGGATCGTTCGGCGGCCGTTGTTTTAGCTTGTCGCGATGCGCAACAGCAGAATGGCAACTCCACGCAGGGATTGTCGCGCTCTGACACGGAGTGCCTACTGGATCTGATGTGGCAGCTGTATCAGACTAGTTGTTGCAAACCAATGTCTGCTAAGTACTAGCGCATGACGCGCTGATCTGATAACATTCTTTGATCCTGTCTGCGTGACTGACCATTTTCTCCAAAAATATGCTTGTATCAGGCATGGCCAAGGCCTGAGGCATGGGAACTGGTAACATAACCAAACAGATCTCTCTATAAATTGCGTCGGCCATTTGCCGGCCGGCGAACAAGGAACTCATTGGCTGCATAAACTACGAGGGTATTTGGCCATCGAGTTTTACTTGGGTAAGAAGTTTCCCACGTATTCGATTGGCCGATTGTTTTGCACGCTGAATCACAGCGTCCTTCAATCAGGTGTAATGTTCGTCTGCTGGAATTTGGTCGAGGAGGTCTAACGTAAATGACAATGTTCTCGCGACTAATAAATGATATCTCATGCACCCTGAGTAGTAAAGCAATAAGTGAAACCAGTTAATGAATAATATTGGTATTCAAAACGAAAAATGACCCGACAGCCGAGCGTGACAACAGAGCACGCCAGCGAGTGGGGCGTTGTTCAGCCGCGTTGTTTTTATCACGTTTAAACATGCGATTCGGTAAAAGGAAAGGGGACTACATTGTTAAAGGTGAATTAGTCTTGTACATCGCCAAGGACCCTCGACAACAACAGCGACAACAAGTTGAAAAGATAACACCACGTACGAATAACTTATGCGCTCGCTTGCGATACGGTCCGTCGAGAAAACGGTCCCAATCCGTCTGAAATACTCGCGGGTACTGTTCGGCGTGAATGAGCACAGTTTGAAGGAGAGATTGTTAACGTCTAGAAGTCCACTTTGGGTTCGTTTGTTTTCAGTATAGTTTTAGTATTTTTAAGGGAGATAGGCCGAGCTTTTGAAAAGCCTATTTACAGACAAAGACTGAAAAACGGACAAATGTGTACGCAGATATACGGTACATTTTATTAGTTCTTATCAAGTAAATTTATGATCATCATATAAAATTTTATTAAATCTTCCTTTAAAAGGCGTAGCATCTTCCGCCAAAACAAACGAAGTCCGTAGTTTGTTTCAATCTTCAATCGCCCATTGTGAGAAGTAGTTGGCCCGTGCTTCAAGCTTGGCGCACTTTACCTCAATTTATATCGGTGACCTCGAAGATTTGTCTTTTGTGTTAGTTCAAATATGGTCAAATTGAAGTTCATAGTCTACTCCTCAGACGAGTCCGAAGACCAGACCATTGCCCCTCTGTATTGCTTATGAGATAGAGGAAAACGTTCGAGCCTTTAACGCCGTTCCTCATAAGGTAGGTTTTTCAGTCCATCCGCCATTGCATCATCTCCAAGAGAGTGTAATCTTGCTTCATTCAGGGGAGTCAAGACCCAATGCCATATTTCAAATCGGTCGGAAAAATGCTCCAAATAGTCGACCGAAAAGCTCTTCGGCAAAGTTAAGGAAGGATTTCTCGATCGTTCCCAAGATGCTCATATCCGTCTTTGTTGTTTTGGCTCGGTGAGACGAGGATTTGAGAGTGGACTTCATCCACACACACCTAGGTCCTATACCTCGTTTAGAGGCTCGAGTTCGTGAACTGTGAGGAAATACTGATATTTAAATCTCATAGTCGGATGAATTGATATTTGATAAAAGTAAAGTTGAGAAGCCATTCACACACCACTTTTGCAGTAGATCTAAGTTGTTTTGCAAGTTTAGCGCAGTCTCTGGTTTTTCAATCTAAATTCACATCCTCAGATCACCAGCAAACATTACCTTCTTGAAGGTCTGACAATGTAGGCAATCGTTCACACATATTAAGATCATAATGGGACACAGAACGTTCCCTTGCGGCACCCAGCTATAAACGGTTTCATACTCCGATTTGGGTCATCTATGCACACACGCTGACGTCGTTATCGGCCATGTTCAACAAAAGCGTGCGTAAGTGTAGAAAAACGGATCAGCCCTTTCGCGTCGCAAAAGAAATTAGAACTAAAATAAAAAAGCGGACATAGGAAAAATATAACTGTAAATGGGGAACGTTACATTTCTTACAAAGAAGTGACGGCAAAAAGGGATGGGGAAAACGGCAAAATTTAAATACTACTATAGAGTTACGAAAAATGAAGCCCTCTCAATCATCAGTTGTTGAGAGTGAAGAATGCCCTGTGCTTTGACCAAAGAGTTCTGAGCTGAAGTCGGTTATTTGAGCTTGTTGCGCACGGAGGTGTATGTCGAACAGATACGAATCAGGAATAAGAACTGATTATGGCAATGGACTAAGAAGGATAGAGGCACATGCACGTAATCAATGAAACGAGGACACCATGCAGCATGCGGACATGAAACACGCGTTCTCGAAAGCCGAAACCGATTGTGTGTATTTTATTATATTCAAATGACAGTACAGAAAAGTTCAGGTATGCAAGAAAGTTTGAAGAGGAAGAACGTAAATGAACATAGATCTAAAAGTTAAACAACAAAAAAGGAAAAGCATAACCCGCTGGCAGATTCCGTTTGTCCACCGACAGATTTCGATCATAATTCGCACCACTTGTTCATGTACGACTAAACAAGCTCGACTATTCGTTTCGTCGCCATTGGTCGTTAGCTGTTTGCTCTCTATCTCTGCCCTTCTATGACGTATGTTAGCATAGGGACAGGATGATGATAACCGGTGTAATTTTGGTTAGTATGACGCCTATTAAGGTTATGTAAACATTACCAAAGAGTTAAACACTGCGTAACAAATGGATGGAAGGCGAAACAAACCGATAGACTGCCAGTTGAGTTAAATAATGATGATGATGATGATGATGATGATGATGATGATGATGATGATGATGATGATGATGATGATGATGATGATGATGATGATGATGGCGACGACGACGACGACCATGATGATGATGATAATTATATTTAATGCATGTTTACGGGCATTGTCAGTCACAAATCCGGGGAAACAAACTGAAGCATTTATTAACTGAAAAACGTTAACGGCTGGTAGTTTTTTTAACACTTGAAATGCACGTGAGTCTACACAGGCACTCAGAACCAATGTGCAGCCGACGTCACTACTGGTTACTAATTTTGTAAAAGATGCGTCTGAGGGTGGTAAACGGAGTTATCACGTTACAGATATAAGTAACGTATGAGTGTGTTTTTATCATCCACTCATTACATTTTTGTTCCCTCTTAACATTTTTTCGCATGCCATGACGCCACGTTGTTTGTATAGACCGACGTTTGTCGTATTCGTTGGTGTCTTGGTTGTGACCACATGCGTTGGTTTTTCCGGTGAGTCGGCTACCGGATAAACACCCGTCTGTAAAATTTCATGTTTGCGAAGACGTGCAGTGTTTAGTCACCCTATCTTTCTTTTAACGTCATTTGAAATTAAAGATTTTTCTTTACATTTATGTGCAGAAGTTTCACCAACTTTTTTATCTACTCTTTTGAAGCAGTTGAGAGGCGCAACACATTGCCTGATTGCGTGTCTCACCGTCATAATGAGTCAACGCCTATCTGATACTCAGTTTCCTTCCTGGTGGGACATTCATACACATCGTGCTAATCCCTTATGTCGAATGGCTGTCCAACGCAGTGCATACGGAAACGGTCGCGCAATGATTGCCGATTGGGGTCGCACCGGTTCATGCCAGGTAGTCAACGACAGCGAGGATTTGAAGGTAAATATCATGAATTCTCCCATCTCATGTTGTTATCATGCCGCTTTATAGACCATCTCTTTATTTCGGTTAAAAACGCTGTCATGGGCGTTGCACGAGTCCTTCGCCAACGCTTGTCGCCGTACCTAATAACTATTTGACCTCTACCATCGGAACCAGCGTTTTCGTATGAAAGTTTACAGTTAACTCTCTCAAGGGCATCAGAGGGTCTTGTAGTCAATACGATTCCGGGTGGAAACCGTTAGAAAACCTTAAACCCGCCTTTCGAAGGCGCTCAGGACATCTTTTTTTCAGTGTTAGTATCTCATCGCCCCTCCATTGATAACCTTCCGCTATGACAAATGACCTTCATGGCGTTATGGTTAATTGACCTCGTCAGTTTAGTACTGCGACAATTGTGTTTTTGGCTTCAGCCCTGACACTGATACTTGTCTCCTTTTTAACCCTTAAGGTATACGAACAGATCTCCACTGACTTGGCTGGCGGACTGCACTTCACTGGCTATCCAAAACCCCTCCTACAAGCTCGCTACCACCTTTCTAAGTGGTCGCCAGCTAGGTTGGACGAATGGCTGCTATCGTCTGCAGCCGCACACGCCACTGCACGTGACTTCGGTGTCGCACAGCTGCTCGACGATGCGGTATTTGGCAGACAAGCCTGTGCCGCCTTTCTTGCCTCCAAATTTTTCGGCACCGTGCGCAAAAATATACCGGCACTTCTCCCTCCACAACGGGTAACTAGGCGGAAAGGCAGTGTCACCCGCGTCAGTACCACCGCTGCCGCCATTTCAGACAAAACGCGTCGTTTCCTTGGCCAACTCGACCAGCTCGTTAGCAAGGCCCTTAATGATGACTGTAGTGACCCTTCCGTGGAGAGTGTCCTCATGACCCTTACAAGAGAGCTGGGACACAGGAGACGCCTCAGCAGTCCTCCGCGCTTACAGCTTTCCCCTGAGACACAATCAAGACTAGTCAGACCGGCCAAGCGTCTGCGGCTCTCTCTTGGATCCCCCACCACAGCATCACTCCCACCGCCTCTCAAACCAACGCTTGTCAAAATGCTTAGCCTGCCTTCCAATGCACAGGAAAGTCGCTGGTTGCGGAGGCACTTGGGCTTGGACGCACTACAGTCTTCGATTGATTTTCATGATTCTGAAACCGAATTAACTACAAGAAGACGTAAATCTCGTGTGTTGGCTATCAAGGATAAGGCGAGAGCGCTTAAGGAACTTTCCAAGGGCTTGGACCCCTTCTTATTATGTCAGGCAGGACGTCGCGTCGAACCGAGCTTTCTCGGTCGTGGCTGCGTCCGCATATCTGAAAGGAAACAGTGCAGCTCGTCGCCTGTGGTCTTCTGGTCTCCACCGCTTCCACCTCGTTGCCAAAAAGGTACAGCACCTCAAATCTATTCTGCGCTCCTTGATAACTTATCTCCTCTCTCCTCCCTCTCTCCGACTGCCTTTCAACTTCCTGAGGAATTTTGCAATTCGTCTGTGTGTGAGTTGGAAACTTTCCAGGTTTGTCCGCTTCGCATTTGACCTTTTGAATTGCCATTTACTAATTGCAATCTGTGCTGCTGCAAAAGCAAATTACACACGAAAACTAGTAAGAAGCTCTGTTTGATGTTCTATAACACAGAGCCTTTTATCTATGACAATTATAGTTATCTGCCAGTGGCATAGGCAGGCTCGGCAACAGTACCCACCGTCGAGAAGGGGTTCCTATTTTTACTGACCCCCGTGTACTTTGTAACGGCTCCGAATGCTCTTGTCATTGACACTAAGTTGAATTTTCCTCATAAACATGATCAAGGCCAGCAGGATCGGATATGTTCGCAGCTTTATGAAGTAAAAGAGGGAGAATAGTGCATTAATCGACCAATTTCTGCCAACATTTTGTCAGGCCGCAAACCTTTTTGTCCCACGAGCTGGCCGACTATGACCTGATAGATACATGAAGGTCTGCCATGTTATTTAATCTTTTTGTGGCCAGCAGAAGCCCACCATCGACCGCTCAGCGTGCATACTTAAACTTTTTTCCGCCGCGTCATTGGCATAGTGGACATTTACATACTAACGTACACATTCGTCAATCACCCCAACGTATCCTATGAGGACTACCACTAAAGGGACGTTGGTGGTTCCTATTACTGAGAAGAAGATTAACTTAACGTTAATCTTTTTGCCCATAAAGGCAAGAAAGGCGAGTTCTAGGAAGCAGTTGGGAGTAAGGAACTGGATAGTTGGAACGCGAATTTTATTTATATGACGTTTCGGATTCATTCATCATCAGAGACAGCAACAGTTAAGGGTTGCGGGCATATAGTGGTTTGCGGTATTCATGAGATGTCATCACTACTCAATCACGCACATAACAAAATTAGCGACTTCCACATTCATTGCAGGTGGTCATATCTGACGCAATTATTGCTTGAAGTTGTTCATTTGAGTCGCCGCCCGTCTAGATCTTCAAGTTTGGTGAGACCGAAATTGCTGCGAGAGGTTAAAACAGCGTGAGCCGAGGGCTGCTTTGGATATCTTGCTTCTGTCCGCAATGTATCAAGGCGCGCAACGATTTCCCTCCTCCCTATTCAGCCCTTGGACCTCGCCTGGTCAGAATAGGTGACCCCGCGACCAACACCGCTTCCGGTGGCATTGTTGATGAGCCAAATTTCTCAGTGGTTACCGCGCCGGTAACCAACGCTAGTGATTAAATTGCAACAAGTAGCGACTCGCTGCGGATAATCAAAAGGTCGTAGCACCAAGTACGACAATCTGCGATGCATACGGAAGCTGCTAATTTTGACAATTATGCGGTCGAGTAGGACTACATCTTGTAAATGCCGCACCCACAACCTTTATTTGTTGCCGTCTGA